TGACCTTTGTTTCCAACAATTTCTTCACAAATAAATTAGTCGATCTGTTCGAAAGGCATGCAGAAATACCTATCTCGCTACCTAAGGACGAGAAATTAGGCGGACAGGCAAGCTGTCGGCTGATCTTGCAGCGCTACATCTCTCATGAGCATTTAGCATTATCTCAGAGTAAAACTTATCCTTCCTAAAGAAAAGATAATTTTTGAGTTCAGCTCACATAACACGACGAAGCGACAACGGATCGCGTACGCCGTTTGATGGTATGTTGTAGTAAACAAATTCAAAAAGTGCATGCCAACAATTAAATGGAGGCTTTTTCTGCAATTATCATGAGACCTTCTTTTGCATTAAATCAGGATACTGTTTACATCATTTGTAGAATTTCATTCCAAAGGCTTTCTTGTAGGATAGTTATCCATGCTACTAACTGCATTTTCCTTTTTTTTTCTTTTGTTCTCCTTTGCTTTTAAGTTGCTGGTTTTGAAGGGATGAAGGGCAACATCTTAGAGACGTACTTGCACCATGCACTGCAATTTATATTCCCGAAAAACTGTTTTGAGGAGCTAATTATCAATTTTAATGTTTTCCACCGTAAGTTCTTTGAAAACTTCTGAAAAATGAGCTGATTCACTATGTGAAAAGCTTTTTCGAATTTAGCAACATGCCCAAAGATGGTATTGAGTCGTGCTCTCGGTCTTGGGATTACTGCCGGGTCTATTCTTCTTTTTATACCTCAGATTATTAAGATTTTCAATGCAAAGAGCGCGAAGGTATGCAGCTGCTTTTGCAGTTTCTTCTTCAAACTTTCATGTAAATGTGGCTTCCTTTTTTAGGGAATATCTCTCGTCTCTCAGCTTCTTGCCCTCGTTGCCGCCGCTGGGACCGCTTCTTATAGCTTCGAAAAAGGATTCGTTTTTAGGTTGATTCAGTCTGAAGTTTGTCTGATTGAAATGCTTACAACTAATGTTTCAGTCAGTGGGGTGATTCATTCTTTGTCGCCGTTCAACTAATGATTATCGTTATGCAGATTCTGTATTACTCGGACGCTAGTGCTTACGCTTTTGCATTCTTCGCGTTTTGGTTAGTTGTTTTACAGCCATCCTATAGTCTTCTTTTCAATGGGAATCGCGCCAATTCACACCTAGCTGGGCATTTGTTTTTGCCGTCATTGGAAATTACGTACCATCGGAAATCCTGATGATGATCCAGGCATTTGGTATTCCTATCACTGTTGCTTCGAAGGTTAGTTACGCATTCTTAAAATTTCAGTACAGTTTTCAATAGACTTAATAAAAACTCTAGAGGATATTAACTCTTCTATATGGTATGGGTAAGACTGGATATATTTCTTTTGATTTAACTGTCACAAGGCGCTGCTGCATAACTGATTCTGATTTAAAGATAGAACAGTTTTTTTTCAGTCTATTCAAGCTTGGCAGAATTTCAAGGAACAAAGCACAGGTCAATTGTCACTTGTTTCTGCCTCACTGCAATTCGCTGGTGAGTTCTATTTCACGACGTTTTAAACTTACGGCGTTTTAATAACTCTTTACTTTTACGATTCTGAATTTTTTCGAATGCTTTCTTTCTCTACTGCAATCACGGCGAAATGTAGTGATTTTTGTTACTCTTTCCTTTTGATGTATTTGCAAGTGGAGTCCTTTGCCAACAGTCCTGTAATTTTACTCGGTGGAGACTATCTAGTAGCATTTTGGTTGCGAGTGTTAAGACTTTCTTTTGCATGACTATTTGATTGCGCCTCTTTTATAGAGGAGAAAGTTTCTTTGATGGGCATCTTGTTTCTGTTTCCTTGCTGTTTACCTAGTGTTAGTTGTTTAGTAGAATGAAAACCAAGTTTATCACATGGACTTTTACCAACCTGCTTTTGGCTCTTAGTGCGTAAACAAAATGTTTTTGTGTATAAAAGATGCCATTTTAGGGTTTATAAAACTGATTATCTCTTATCCATCTTAGCGTCCGATGTTTCTAGGTATAAGATCACGGCTTTATCACAAATGACTTTCCAGCAACTCTTTATGAGCTAGATCTATGCTTGCTGTCTGCTATGATTTTGGTGGAGTATCTCGTTCTAGTTTTGTCGTGGTATTTTCTTAAAGGTATTACTTCGGATAGATCGGCCGAATGAGCTTGAACTATTATTTAGATTCACTGGTCAACATGTTTTTAGAAGCAGGGGAGTTCTTCCATAATTATTCCAGGTACGGTCGCCAGAGTGTTTACTTCGATCCAAGACACCGGCGATAGCCTCTTGATCGCTTCATTTGCCATAGCTGCAGTGCTAAACGCCGTCCTTTTCATACAGTTCTTCCTGTACTGGGATGAAGCCAAGCGCAAGAAGATGCGTTAATCGCATTATTTTTTTCTCTCATACTGATACATTCTGGGCACCTAGTTTCTAATCTCCATGGTATGTGGCTCTAAGCTTGTTTTAAATACTCTCTGTTAATTTATTGAATAAAACGTGCTGTGTGGATAATGGTGTTTGACGTCTAGGTGTACTTGCCTTTTATTTTTCTTTCCCTAGTTTGTGGTGTGCTTTATGAGATAACGAATTTTCTCAGTAATGCTATCCACCGTCTCCAGTTTATTTCGGAGATCTGGTCAGAGTTTTGTCGGTTATTGGAAGAAAATAGGCAACGACTACAGAACGGTAGCCATAGAGACTTTTGAAGGATGTAAAGAAAAACCGTTAAAAGCTGGTGAGTTTGTTCCAGAGATTAGAAGAGCATGTCCTTTGTTTAATGATTTTTAAGTAGAATTCAGCTTTCGTTTTATTTTTTACTAGAGCAAATTGTTTGCTAAGAATGAGTGTCGCTTACACTTATGGCTAACTGCTGTTACATTTTCCATCTATACGTTTGTAGCTTTTCCATCATGCTTTCGGACTTTTTCGGCCGAAAACTTTTATCTCAAAATATGATATTTTTTTTGTTTAGGGCTATACATTGCCGGCCTTGGTGGTCTTGCATATGCTTACCACACAAATCCAACGGAAGAAGATATGTTGAACGAATTGCGGGAATGGCGGCAAATCATGGCACTAGTGCCTTCTCCTCTCCACAACAAACAAACTGGTGGGTCATTGCCTTTGCTTGGAAAGGCTTCAATGTTAAAAATTTAGATAGCGAGCTTTCTGAGCGTTCCGTGCTATTGTGTCAAAATCGTCTGCATTATTACAATTTCTGGTTCTTCTCTTTGCTTGTTCGTTCCACTCACGATAGTTCTGTAAGTTTTTTCTCTTGCTTTTATCACGTTTCTAAGGCACTCGCTTCAATTCTAACCGAGTATTTGGTACGTCAATCTGTCCATCCTCGTAAATCCTATTTAAATGTACTGCCTTTGATGATCTTAAGCTATTGCCTGATCGCCTTTGAGTCCGCTCGTCTGGGAAGTCTTACATCTAAACAGTTTACCGCACTCGCGCCAAGATTTGTGTAG